TACAGTGCTCTTTTAGGTCTGCCATCTGCAGTTTGCTTAAGTGTTAACAGTTCAGTTGGCCCTTGGCCTTTTCACATGAGGCAACTGCCCTCTCCGAGTGAGGGCAAAGGGCCAGTGTGACAGCCTTTTGTATCACACTTGTGGCTCCTGAGTTCTTTCTGGTATCCAGGAAAAATGAGGCTGCACGAACGAATTGAAGGATGGTAAATGTGGGGATTTTATTGCCAATAAAGTGGCTCTCAGTGGGAAGGGGAGCTGCAAAGGAGATGGAGAGGTGGGTAGGTAATCTTCCCCAGAAGTCCAGCCATCTCTGGCTGGATTCTTCCCCAAAGTTACACTGTCAAACTGTCCCTCTAAAGTCAAGCCACTTCTCTTTGATGTCTAGCTGTAGTCCCTGACATCCAGCTGCTTCTCCTCTCTGCCAGCTGAATCTAGGGTCTTTATAGGCACAGGGTGGGACGGGGTGAGGGCATGGGTGGTTTAGGAAAAGATAACATTTGAGCAGGAAAACAAGGATAGAAGTTCTCACTTTGGGCCATGGTTTTAGGCTTGAGGGTGGGGTTTTGTCGGGGACCTGCCCTTAAATTTCTCTGCCTCCTGTCACTATCAACACCAACTCTGAGGTTCCTATAGGTCCCCACCATATATACCATATTTTGTTTTTCCATTCATCTGTTGATGGATATTTAGGTTGTTTCTACCTTTGGCCTTTGCGAATAATGCTGTTATGAACATTGGTATATAAATATCTGTTGAAATCCCTGCTTTCAGTTCTTTTTAGTATATACTCAGCAGTGGAATTGCTGGATCATATGCTAATGCTATATTTAATTTTTGGGGAGCTATACTGTTTTCTACAGCAAGCAGCTGCTCCAGTTTATATTTCCATTAGCAAAGCACGAGGTTTCAGATTTCTCCACAGTCTCTCCAACACTTGTTTGCTGGCTTTGTGTTTGTTTCTTAGGAGTATAAAGTGCTATTTTATATTTTGTTTTGCATTACCCTAACAATTAGTGATATTGAGCATCCTTTCATGTGCTTATTTGGCCATCTTTATGTATTTCTTTGGAGAAATGTCTGTTCAAGTCCTTTGTCCATTTTTTAAAGTTTTGTTGTTTTTTTGTTTTTGCTTTTTGCCTGAGGGTTATTTACCTAAGAATAATTCTATGTTCTTATTTTCTTCTCTTTTTAGAAAAAAAAATCTTCTCTATTAAAAACAAAACAAAAACAAACAAACAAAAAACAGAAAAAAGAAATTCATGTTTATTTAATTTATTTTTTATTTTTTTTGAGACGGAGTTTCGCTCTTGTTGCCCAGGCTGGAGTGCAGTGGTGCAATCTTGGCTCACCGCAACCTCTGCCTCCCAGGTTCAAGCGATTCTCCTGCCTCAGCCTCGCAAGTAGGTGGGATTACAGGCATGTGCCACCATGCCTGGATAATTATATATATATAAAATCATATATATAAAATAATATATGTATATAATAATATATATATATATATTTTTTTTTTTGAGATGGAATCGCACTCTGTCACCCAGGCTGGAGTGCAGTGGTGTGATCTCGGCTCACTGCAACCTCCGTCTCTGGGGTCCAAGCAATTCTTCTACCTCAGCCTTCCAAGTAGCTGGGATTATAGATACCCATCACCACGCCCAGCTAGTTTTTGCATTTTTTGGTAGAGATGAGGTTTCACCACATTGGCCAGGCTGGTCTCGGACTCCCAACCTCAGGTGATCCACCTGCCTCGGCCTCCCAAAGTGTGGGGATTACAGGCTTGAGCCACTGCTCCCAGCCAGAAATTCAGGTTTATAAAGATCTCACCTATCATACCCAATGTATTAAAATCCCAGATTTGGATATCAGTTCTCTTCTTCTTCATTTACTACTAACAGAATTACCATTAACTGTTTAAAAAGTCCAAGTGGCCCCAAATTATAACCTTCTTCTTTTTAACTGTGCAGTTCCTTCCAACTCCTCACTGTTTTCTGTAAGAAGTTCTTGCTTATTTTATTCTAGGCATCTATGTAGTCAGATCCCCTTTCTTACCCCTATTTAATATTTGAGTCGAGTCCTGTGTTCCTTAGGCTCCATTAGGTATCTGATATAGTTATATACTTACCTGAGGTGAGCAAAAATCACCTGGTGGCCATCAAGCAGACCATCTGGAGGCAAACTCCTTAGCTGAGGAATTTAGATGTATAATGAAGAGAGCAAAGATCACCTGGTGGTCATCAAGCAGGCCATCCAGAGGCAAAACTCCTTATCTGAGGAATTTAGAAGCAATTAGACTTCCCTGTTATCTAAAGCCAGCATCTGGTTACCAGGTTGCTTTCCCAAAAATGTATAAGTAGCTAGAATTTCTATATATCTCCTGAATGCATGCATATCGAAACTCATTGTGCAGCCTTTGCGGACATCAAGGCACCAACATGTCTACAAATGTAATCATCTATCATGACCTGCAAAACTAATAGGGTCAAAATTACCCTTCAGTTCCTGCTTTAAGGTCTACAAATACCTCTAAGGAAAATCCACGGAGGCCCACTCAGTCCTCTCTTGCTGAAGCACCCCACTACAACGTTCTTTCTGTCTAAGAAAACTTGACTTTTTAAGCCTGTGCTGTTGTCAGTAAATTCTCTTTACTACCTGCGTGCCAATCACTTTCTGTTGCTGGGGCTCTGCCACCTTGCCTAGCATTACCAAATTCATATTCTACTTTGGAAAGCTGGAAGTATTTTGTATACCAGCTTATGAATGATCCTTCTCTTATCGTTGAAGTCTGACCACTTTACAGAAAAAGTAGACCATCTTGTTTTCGAAATTCCAGCAATAAAGAATAATGCAGTGTTATTCACCTTAAATGAATTATGGTACATCCCTAAGGTGGCTATAAAATAGTCATTTAAATTTGTACTGATAAAATTTCTTATTTTTATTATTTATTTATTTATAGAGACAGGGTCTCACTCTTTTGCCCAGGCTGGAGCATCATGATCACAGCTCACTCCAGCCTCAGCCTCCCAGGCTCAGGCTGTCCTCCCATCTCAGCCTCCTGAGTAGCTGGGACTGCAGGCACACACTGCCATGCCTGGCTAATTTTTGTAATGTTTTTGTAGAGATGGGGTTTCACCATGTTGACCAGCTTGTATCAATCTCCTGGCTTCAAGTGATCTACCCATTTCGGCCTCCCAAAGTGCTGGGATTACAGGCATGAGCCACTGCACCTGGCCGCAAAATTTTTTAAAATATAAAAAGATTCTTAAAGTGAAAATATGATGTTTTCTATCTTAGTCTATTTGGCCTGCTATAACAAGATACCATTAACTGGGTAGCTTATAAACAAACAAACTTATTTCTCACAGTTATGAAGGCTGGGAAGTCCAAGATGAAGATGTCCACACATTTGGTGATGTTAGAGGCAGGAGGCGGACAAAGGCCTAGGCAGATAGGGAAGGGTCCCTGGAGAACCTCTGACCCCGCCCACAAGTGTTTACACCAGATGTTTTGTACAGATAAGGGAACCTGCACAGGGAGTTTGCCTAGGCATGCCCACAGCAGGCTGGAGACCCATGCACTCCACCCATGAATGGGGTGGAGCCACCAGGAATTTGTGTCTTATGCAGGGGAGGAGCCTGGCCTCTTCAGCTGGTGTGTGGTAGCCCAGGTATTCAATCTGGGATGGGAAAACCTGCTTGCAGGACCCCCTCTCTTTGCTGAGAGCTTTCTTTTTGCTTAAAAATTCCACCCTTCTCACTCTTCAATGTGTTCGTGTGCCTAATTCTTCCTGATCGTGAGACAAGAACCCAGATTAGCTGAGTTAAGGAGCAAAAACTTCTGCATCAGTGAGGGCCCCCTTTCTGGTTCATAAATGTCATCCTTTAGCTGTGTCCTCACAGGGTGGAAGAGTGGAATGAGCTCCTTTGGGCCCATTTTATATTTATTTATTTATTTATTTATTTATTTATTTATTTATTTTTGAGACAGTGTCTCTCTCTCTCTGTCACTCAGGTGGAGTGCAATGGCCTGTTCTGAGCTCACTGCAACTTCTGCCTCCCAGATTCAAGCGATTCTCCTCAGCCTCCTAGGTAGCTGGGATTACAGCCATGCACCACCATGCCTGGCTAATTTTTGTATTTTTAGTAGAGACAGGGTTTCCCCATATTGGCTGGGCTGGTCTTGAATGCCTGGTTCAAGTGATCCACCTGCCTTGGTCTCCCAAAGTGTTGGGATTACAGGTGTGAGCCACCGCGCCTGGCCCCTTGGGTCTATTTTATAAAGGCACTACCAATCCCATTCATCAGGGCTCTGCCCTCATAACCCTATCACCCCGCAAAAGTCCCCACCTCTAAATATCTTCACCTTGGGGGTTAGGATTTTAACATATGAATTTGCAGGGTCAGGGGGAACATAAATATTTTGGCATTCTGGAAGATTGTGACTTTGGAAAACCATAAAAGACATGTATATAAAAGCAAGATGGGAGGAAAATGCAGTTAAGTTATCAACAACACTTACCTGTAGGTTTTAGGTTTGGGTAGCTAGGTATTCACCAGGCAGATAAGAGTGCTAACAAATGCTTAGAGATATGAAAATTTATCACATATTTTGGAGTCAGCAAGGAAGCTATTTATCTGTAGATATCAGTGCAACACAATCCAGGAGGCTGTGTGTATCAGCAATTGACCTTGCTTGACCTGATAGATCTTTTATTGCTCTACCTTGGTATATGTCTATTTAAATCCACTTATTAAGGCTTATAAAGCAGTTTTTTTGGTTAAAAATCTAGGACTTGGAATAAACAGATTTTGCTAGTCTATACTCTTGCAGATATTGTTACCAGAATTTGTTACTGCTTACCACAGTATAAACCATTACTTGAGAATGCCTGTTTGCAAGGCCAGTTTTCCACTATCATTATTACTTGGCTTGAACAACTGTACAGTAATACATTTTTTTTCATAAAGTACTAATGCATTTCTATTTTTCTTCCTCTCAAGATGAAAGAAAATTTTGTCATGGAGTCCCTACCATCTGTACCATCAACTGAAGGAAACAGTCAACAATGCAGATTTGATGACCTGGAAAATCTTAATTCATTAGCAAAAAGTAGTCTGGATTTAGGTTTGTGGCTTTTGTTTCTCATAAACACAAATTACATTATTCTGCAAGCTTTCAGTTTTATGTTTGTATACATGAATTTTACATATATTTTTATTCATTTTGATGTTTTGAGTTTACATCTGCTTATTAATTAATCTGCTTCAGAATACCTGAAAGAATAAACAAGCCTCAGATTTCAACTTAGAGTTTTCAGATTCTCTTTTCTGAGAGGGCTACATTTTCTCTGCCTCATGTTGCATTTTATTAGCAGTATGGATTGAAACCCAGACTAGAACCTTACGCCAAATCTGAAATAAGTTTCTACTAATATGTATTAAAATCTCTGATGCTCTTAAGTAATATTGCTAGCTCATTTAATGGGACTGTTAAATATTAAAGAGAGGCATATTTTAAACATTTATGAAACATTTTTATAGCCATATATTTCAGTCAATTTTAGTACATTAATAACTTAGTTTCCATTAAAGAATTCTAAAAGTATAGTGCCTCGCCCTGCTGCCCCTCAATATCGATTCTTATATATGTTTGAAAACTTGACTTTAAAAAAGAATTTTTCTTCATCTAACACTAAAATATCGAATGTCATTATAAAATTGACATCCCTAGGGAGATTGTTAAATGCTTTCATAGCACTGGGTTTTATGGAGCCATTGTTGAGGATTTATGCTGTCCTTCACTTGTTATGACTACTTATAAGTCTTTCTCTGTGTTGTATAGTAATATGTTGTAAGGGTGGAGAGGGCTATAGAAAGTGATGGAACAGTTTTATATGAGATTAGGATTCTATTAAGTAAATTCTAAAAAATGGAATACTTAAGGGTAAAAATTGAAGGCATCTCTGAGATGATAACATACAGTTTCCTGTGGGTCAAAACAGAGCACGGAAAAAAAAAGAAGACAGTATGAATACTTAATTTTAAATATCTAAGATTAGATGAATCTATCCAAGTTTTCGAGATCATGACTAGGAGAAAAATGGGACTTACCAAAATAAAACTCTCCAGGTATATTGCTTTCTAAAATTCACCACATTTCTTGCAGTTCTCTATTAAATAGTTGGAGAAGATTTATAGCACATATGTTTCAGTAAATGAATAAATAGAACATATCTGTTTCATTACTATTAATACTAAAGCAAACTTAGCACCATTTTGGACCAGATGAGTCTTTCGGTGAGGGTGGGGTACCCTGTGCATTGTAGGATGCTTAGGAGCGTCCCTGTCCTCTAACCCTAGATGCCAGTGGCACACCCTCTCCCAGTCCTGATGAAAATGAAAATGTCTCCAGATGTTGCCAAATGTATACTGTATAAACCACTGGTTTATACTGTCAAGATCAAAAGAAATAGACTAGCTATGTGGGCTGGTGTTTGGGTGGAGGAGCAGCAGAATAAGAGGCAATCTTAGATTTATCTACAGAACAATGAATTTAGAAATAATTGTTGAGAACCTCTGCATAAAGGGATATTCTTGACCTTTTGGTTAATCCAAAATTATATATCTTTAAAAAGCATATACTCTTCATGGGTTATGAAACTAAATATTTAAATTTGGATAATTAATAATGTCATTTATTGACATTATAGCATTGAGTAATATACTTAGTGTTACAAGATTTTGGAAGATTTCAGACAGAAGGTAGTTCTGTTTCCCAGTCTTTGACTGCTCAAAGACTGGGTTATGCCATTTGCAAGTCCAAGGTGATTCTGTGTTATTGTCAAGACTCAGTGCACATGCTTACTTGCAGGCCTGTCTCTTACTACACACTAAGCTTCAGGGGAGTAAGGACTGTATCTGATTATGTTCACATAGTAGGTGCTCGAGAAATATTTGTTGAATGAGAAAATGATGTACTGCTCACGTGGTTATTCAACAGCATATCAGCTCACTCCTTTTTTTTTTTTTTTTTTTTTTTCCAGTTGCTAAGTTGTATAGTAACCCGATCTCTACTTTGGATTCTTTGCCTTTATTTTGTTATTCCATTCTTGCGTCTCACGAAATGTAGACCTTTAGAAAATTTCCGCCATTCCTCTCCTATAGGCATTAACTTCTGATATGGTTTGGCTCTGTGTCCCCACCCAAATCTCATGTTGAATTGTGATTGGCAACATTGGGGAAGGGACTTGGTGGGAGGTGATAGTATCATGAGGGCAGATTTCCCCCATCTGTTCTCACGATAGTGAGTTAATTTTCAAGAGATCTGATGGTTTAACAGTGTGTGGCACTTCCTCCTTTGCGCACGCTCTCTCTCTCCTACTGCCATGTGAAGACATGCTTCCCCTTCACCCCTCTGCTATGATTGTAAGTTTCCTGAGGCCTTCCTAGCCATGCCTTCTGTACAGCCTCTGGAACTGTGAGTCGATTAAACATGTTTTCTTTATAAATTATCCAGTCTCTGGTAGTTCTTTTTGGCAGATGGCAGTGTGAGAATGGATTAATACAATTTAAATCCTAGAGCATTTATTTTTTAAAAATGTCCCAGTTTTTCTAACCTCTGTACCCCTGTTATGACCATTACCTGACAACTACAGATGCCCTACAGGACTCAGTCTTTTTCATGGGCTCCTGGGTTTCTCTGTGCACTTGGTGGACAGCTCTGTAAAGTGTAACTGTGTGAAGTGCTGTGACAAGTGAGAAATGTGTGCCTGTGTACCAACAGGGTACATGGAGGAGGCAGTGGGGCAGAGGGCACAGGTAACCTTTGTGTGGAGCAATTCATGAAGTTTTAAACTGCACCAATCTACGCAACTTAGTGGTGTAGTTTAATAGACTGCTTTTTCCAGTGTAGCTGGATGGGACATAGCTCTGTAAATAGAACCAGTTTTCTGTTCTGAAAACTCTGGTTTTAGGCCATTCCTGCCTGAGCGCCAGTCCTGTCCTGGTCCTTCCTCCTCAATGGGGGAGAGGCAGACATCAGCAAAGCTGGAACAGTTGGGCAGTGCTTTGATTGTTGTGTGGGAATGGGCACCCTAGTGGATGGGAGCAAAGGGGAGTATGGAGATTGGGGAAAGGTAACTGAGACTTCCTTTAATCCCACCAAGCGTGACAGTATTTTCACCCCATATCTACAACATTGCCAACTGATTGGACCCTGTTTCCAAAGTTTCTAGATGAAATGAAAAGCAGAAGTGGTAGTGAGTTTACTAGAAAATTTGTTCAAGATGAATGCATGGAAAGAAGAGTTTCGGTGATTATAGGAAAAGTTTTAGGCTAGGTGTGGTGGTTCATACCTATAATTCTAGCACTTTGTGAGGCCAAGGCAGGAGGATCACTTGAGCCCAGGAGTTCTAGACCAGCCTGGGCAACATAGGGAGACCCCATCTCTATTGGAAAAAAAAAAAAAGTTTTAAAAGAGTATCTGTATTGCTTAGTCAGAGGTCATTTGTGATTTTCTACTAAGGCAGGTACCCCAAATATACTGTGAACTTATGGAATTATTTTTGTTTGTTTGTTTGAGATGGCATCTGTCTCTGTCACCCGTGCTGGAGTGCAGTGGTGCAATCTCGGTGCACCGCAACCTCCACCTCCCAGGTTCAAGTGATTCTCCTGCCTCAGCCTCCTGAGTAGCTGGGATTTCAGGCATGCGCTACCACACCCGGCTAATTTTTTTGTATTTTTAGTAGAGATGGGGTTTCACCATGTTGGCCAGGCTGGTCTTGAACTCCTGACTTCGTGATCCGCCCACGTCGGCCTCCCAAAGTGTTGGGATTACAGGCGTGAGCCACCACACCCGGCTGAACTTACGGACTTAAGGAAGACATTTGATGCACAATTCATCATATTCTTGTAAACATGATAAAAACAATGGGCTGATAAATTATAATGAATTACTGGGGTATATCCTATGAGTGATTAATGGGTTTATGCCTACATAGGTACAGGTCTCTAATATAGGCCATAGGACTCTATGCACAGGTTGCCTTGGTTATTCTTTTTCTCAGGAAATGGGGTAATGGCACAGATGGCATGTTGGATAAATTCACACATTCCAGGAAATTGGGAAGGATTGTCAGTATGTTGGATGACAGAGCTAAGATCCAAAGTGACCTTGACGATCTAGAATGAAGGCCTCCATCAAATAAGATAAACTATTTAAAAAGAAGAAGAAAAGTTTGAAGCTGTGCTGTTTGGACCCAAAACCTAACTGCCCACTTCTAAGATGGGAGAGACGTTGTTTGTAATTTGGTTTTTCTATCATTGCAGAGTTCTCCAGTACAGTGAGAAGAACAAATAAGGCTCACAGGACTTAGGGTTTCAGAATTTTCTTTTTTTTTTTTTTTTTTTTTTTGGAGCCCAACTACTTCTGGGTCCCATTCTTTTGCTTGGTATATTGCTAAGCAACAGTGCTTTTTGTAGTGGCAAATCAAAACATTGGTAAAATTCCATCTCTTTCATCAAGCCTCCTCCTCATGCTATTCCTCCTACCTAGAATGGTATTGCAGATTTTTATGGGACTGATTCCCTGTCACCATCCAGGTTTTTGACTACTCCATCTATTTTTTTTTTTTTCTTTTTCTTTTTATACAGAGTCTCACTCTGTCATCCAGGCTGGAGTGCAGTGGCATGATCTTGGCACACTGCAACCTCCACCTCCTGGGTTCAAGTTATTCTTCTGCCTCAGCCTCCCAAGTAGCTGGGATTACAGGCGCACGCCACCACACCTGGCTAATTTGTATTTTTAGTAGAGATGGGGTTTCATCATGCTGGCCAGGCTGGTCTCAAACTCCTGACCTCAAGTGATCCACCTGACTCAGCCTCCCAAAGTGCTGGGATTACAGGTGTGATCCCAGCACACCTGACGAGCTACTCACCTGTTTCTTTCTGTTCCTACCTGTTGCTTTATTTTCCTTCTTAGAAGTTACCATGAGCTAAAATTGTTTTGTGTTCTTTCTGTATCTCTCTCCACTAGAATGTTAGCTCCCAGGAATAGGAACTTTGTCAGTTTTGTACATTTAGCTATCTCTAATGCCTAGAATAGTTCCTGGCAAGTAGCGGGTGCTTTATAAACATTTGTTAAGTGAATTTGTGAATGCGTGATTGAAGAACAGCCACAGAATGTTGGATACACTTAAAGGTATTTTTGTAGCTTCAGCTTCTTACCCCATTAGCCAAAGAAGTAAAATACTTAAGGTTTTGTGTCTTCTCACATTTATTTGATGGGAAACAAAACAAAATATAGAAGGTGCATTAGAACTTTTTTTCTTTGTTACATTTTCTAGGTTAAGCTCTACCAGATATTTTTAAATCCATAGAAGGTATGCAAACCAAAAAATAGATGTCCACAATCTTGATAAGAGCATACACTTGATTTCTTACCATTTGGATAAAAGCTATGTTATTATTACTCAACCCAGTACAATAGTATTTTATCATCTCACACATGTTTGAGCTTTCAGTCATACTTTAATCACATAATGTGTGATATTTTAAAATATTTTTTCTTCCAAGAACACAGTGTTCAAAGAAATACATTGCAGGAAAAACTGTTTTGGCCAGCACGGTGGCTCATGCTTGTAATCCCAATACTTTGGGAGGCCAAGGCAGGTGGATCACTTGAAGTCAGGAGTTCAAGACCATCCTGGCCAACATGACGAAACCCTGTCTCTACTAAAACTACAAAAATTAGCTGGGCATGGTGGCACACACCTGTAATCTCAGCTACTCAGGCGGCTGAGGCAGAAGAATCACTTGAACCTGGGAGGCGGAGGTTGCAATGAGCCAAGATTGCACCACTGCACTCCAGCCTGGGCGACCAAGTGAGACCTTGTCTTGAAAATAAAATAAAATAAAGTAAAATAAAATAAAATAAAAATAAATAAAATCTATCTACAACGTACTGTGCCATGCATTGGAAAACCTAAGGGACTATTTGTTGTTCTCTATTTTCTAGAATTACAGACAGAGAAAAGCATCATGTTTGGAAGAGTTTAGCATACACAGCTCAGTGTAGAGTGAAGAATACATAAGGCAGGCAGCGGAGACATTCAGAAGAGTCCAGCTGTGGGGACCTTGTGTGCTGGGGAGGACCATGAATTTGACCTGTCTGCTCAGAAGCCTTATCCTGGGGCCTATGGGGGCAGCTTCACAGGATCCATGAACCACAGTTAGAACATTTTTTTTTTTTTTTTGAAATGGAGTCTCGCTTTGTCGCTCAGGCTGGAAGTGCAGTGGCGTGATCTTGGCTCAATGCAACCTCCGCCTCCCAGGTTCAAGAGATTCTCATGCCTCAGCCACCTGAGTAGCTGAGATTACAGGTGTGTGCCACCACACCCAGCTGATTTCTGTATTTTTAGTAGAGACAGGGTTTTGTCATGTTGGCCAGGCTGGTCTTGAACTCCTGACCTCAAGCGATCCACCTGCCTTGGCCTCCCAGTGTTGAGATTACAGGTGTGAGCCACCGTGCTGGCCAAAACAGTTTTTCATGCAATGTATTTCTTTGAACACTATGTTCTTGGAAGAAAAAACATTTTAAAATATCACATATTATGTGATTAAAATATGACTTAAAGCTCAAACAAGGTCTCGCTTGGTCGCCCAGGCTGGAGTGCAGTGGTGCAATCTTGGCTCACTGCAACCTCTGCCTCCCGGGTTCAAGCGATTCTCCTGCCTCAGCCTCCTGAGTAGCTGGGATTACAGGCATGCGCCACCACGCCTGGCTAATTTTTGTATTTTTAGTAGAGATGAGGTTTCGCCATGTTGTCCAGGCTGGTCTTGAACTCCTGACCTTAGGTGATCCACCCACCTCGACCTCCCAAAGTGCTGGGATTACAGGTGTGAGCTACCGCACCCAGCCCAATCTTTAGGCCCTCCATTTACCTTGTCTGATTAAGCACAATTATTTTAGGCTCCCCATTTATATCATTTGAATAAATGGCATTCCCAAATTACTGAGGGTGTTTAATCAGAAGTCTCAAAGCTCCTTTACGAGATGATCAAAGATATACTTGTTCTGTAGAATGGACCGTGGGATGTACAATAGATGGGACTTCCATTCTAATCATAACATGAGCTGTAGATTTCTTTGTTTTTCTACTTTGGAAAACAGTATACTCATTATTTTTTAAACTTAAAAACTCATTGTTGGCTTATTAAGCAAGTACTGTATTTATGTGTTGAGAAATATTTGCTAGGTGCTTTCTGTATAGGAGTGCTGCTCTGGGTCATGAGAGTGGAGCCGTGAGCAAAATAAAGTCGGCCGTCGTGGAGCCCACGTTCTGGTGGGGGTAGACAATAACAAATTAATGTATAATATTATAGGGTTCATGAGGGAAAATAAAGCAGTAAAAAGAAATAGGGAATGTTTGAGGAGGAGGCCTATTTTATATGGAATGGTCCGGCTGTTTTAATAACAGTTGACTGACACGTGAGTAAAGTAAGCCAGCCTTGTGTGAAAACATTTGGGATATGGCTGAGAGAACAAAAAATGCAAAGTTTTGAGGAGGTTGTATGCTTGGTGACAAAAAACAATTAAGTATGTTCCTGGAGGATAAATAAGATAATGCAGATAAACAAAAAGTAGAAATAAAAAATTGTCTGCGGAGGTAATCGCGATTTGGTTTATAATCTTCCAAATTTTTCCAGTTTGTATGAAACACTACCTGTCTACCCTCATAACTGTGTCATCTCAGCTTTCTCCCTCAACCCCAGATCTTCTGGGTTTCTTTTTCCTTTTGTTTTTGTTTTTGAAACAAGGTCTCACTCTGTTGCCCAGGCTAGAGTACAGTGGCGACATCGTTCTTCGCTGTGATCATCCTCTCGGACTCTAGTGATCCTCCTGCCTCAGCCTCCCGAGTAGCTGAGATTACAGACATGCTCCACCAAGCCTGGCTACTGGAGTTTCGCATGTTGCCCAAGCTGGTCTTGAATTCTTGGTCTCAAGGAGTCCACCTGCCTCAATCTCCCAGAATGCTGGGTTTATAGGCATGAGCACCTGCACCTGGCCAATATTCTGTTTTTAAATAATAAACCAGTACAATACAGCTTAACTTCCTTTCCATAGATAACCGTGGTGTTGAATCCTATATATTATACCTTATGCATTATCTTTTTATAGTGTGTGTGTGAGGATGTGTATGGACAATATATGTGGACATACCCACACACACATCTATATATGATAGTTATACTGTGCCTAGTATATATACATGCATCAACATTTGATCTATTGTGGTGAGACTAAAGGAGCTTTCTTTAGTTTATTTGGGCAAATGTAAGGAGAAAATACTAGCTTTTAATTTCTTAAATTAACATGATAATTATATAATATGCTACCAACAACTAGGGAAGAACATAAGAAGTCCAAAAATGTTGTCCCCACCATACTTCTCAAGCTTATTATGTGAACCTTTCTAAGTAGAAATCAAAATTAATTATTAGGAAGTTTGTTGTAAACATTTAAATAAATTATGGCAATCTGTACCCTTTACCTACTGGTAAAAAATTGGCAAATTTTCTTAACCTCAGTTTTCCTGTCTATAAAATATGGTTGATAGTGTCTTTTCTTTCTAACTCATAGTTTGATGTGAGAATTAAATGAACAAGTATAGGCCAGGCGTGGTGGCTCACGCCTGTAATCTCAGCACTTTGGGAGGCTGAGGTGGGCGGATCACCTGAGGTCAGGAGTTCAAGACCAGCCTGGCCAACGTGACGAAACCCTGTCTCTACTAAAAATACAAACATTATTGTATTTTTGCATGCAACACCACACCTATAGTCCCAGCTATGCAAGAGGCTAGGGCAGGGAGAATTGCATGAATCCAGACGCGGAGGTTGCAGTGAGCCAAGATTGTACCACTGCCCTCCAGCCTGGGCAACAGAGTGAGACTCCATCTCTAAAGAGAAAACTAGTGTAGAAGAATTCTGAAATGTATAAACAAAGTCCTTTTAAAAATAGAGGTGATTGGGCGAGGTGGCGGGCGCCTGTAGTCCCAGCTACTCGGGAGGCTGAGGCAGGAGAATGGCGTAAACCTGGGAGGCGGAACTTGCAGTGAGCTGAGATCCAGCCACTGCACTCCAGCCTGGGCTACAGAGCAAGACTCCGTCTCAAAAAAAAAAAAAAAAAAAAGTGATTTTATTTGTTTGTTATGCTGTGGAATTTTTTTGTTTAAATCAGTGAAATGTCAGAGTTCTTTTTTTTTTTTTTTTTAAATCAGTGAAATGTCAGAGTTCTTATTGGGAAAGCTTAGGTTGATAAGAGAAAATCTGTAGTAAGATTAGATTTTTTAGTAATATTAATATTGCATAAATGTCATTTTTTCAGTGAGGCCACTGAAAATTGTAGCTGTCTTCTGTTGAACAATTCCTATATTCCTTCCTTCTTTATTTTTCACCATTGTACTTATCATCATCGGATATATTAAAGCCTTTATTTATTTACTTTAATGTTTTCAGTCTCCTACCTGGAAGAGTCCCCTCCCATAGTAGGTGCCCATACCTAGTTGCTGAATGACTGAAGGAGAATGAATGCCTTTTGTGTTCACTGTTATCTGGATTTGCTCTTCAGGCATGATCCCGGATGATGCCCAAGGTCCTAGCTTGCTCATTGACCTTCCTGTTGTGGCTCAAAGTAGGGAGCAAGAAGATTTGCCTTTATATCAACACCAAGCGACGCGAGTTATTTCCAAGGCCTCAGCATACACAGGAATGTTGTCTTCTAGATATGCCACTGATACATGGTATGATATCATTTCTCTTTGTTTTCACATTATAAAATAGTGGTTTTTCTTTTCTTTTCTTTTCTTTTTTTTTGCTAAAAAAAATTGCATGATTTTTGGTAGAACATTTGGAAAATACAGAAAAATATTATGAATAAAATCCACTATATTTGACAATTGCCGTGAGAATTTCATATACTTAAAATTTTGCCATATGTACAATTTTGTATCTTGTAGTTGTGCACAAAATGGATTACATAGAGTATTTGCTTAGAGAATGGGAGGTTAATTCAGAGTTTATTTTAACAACTCAAGCAAATGCAGTTGAGGACAAATTAAAAGAAGACCAATTTAAGAGTGAGGAAATCTACGGGAATCCCTTGACTCATTACATGTTGAGTGTAAGAGGGGGTAGTTGAGGATGACTTGTGTTTTTGGACTAGAAAACTAGATTTGAGAAATTACTGCTTCAATATAATATTATAGGAGCATGAACGGGTTGGAAGGGAAAATGATGAGTTTGGAACATGTTGAGGGTTAAAGTAGCCATGGAACAACAAAGCTAAATGGAATCAATTAGATATGTGGGTCTGGGAATTAATATTGAAGTCTGTCTGGACATGGGTAATTGGAAGCAAGATTAAGCGCAGCTGAAACTCTTGGATTTGAATGGTCATCAACACGAAGCTTAAACAGTAAGGCAAGCATAGGGTCAAGATTGGAGTCCTGGAAGACAGCAATACTTAAGGCATGAACAGAGGAAGAAAGGGGTGAGCTGGAATGAACAAAAGGTAGGAGAAAATTAGTCAACTAGACATTGACTTAGAAAGCAAAGGAAGAGAATATTGTAACAAAAGGGTCCTCAGAAACTATGTTCACATGTTAGTAAGGTCAATGTAGATAAGATGGAGAAGTTTTCCTGGGGCTTGGCCATATGGATGCCCTTGGTAAGCATTGAGCATTGTTAGTAGAGTGAATTCGGAGAGTAGTGTGTTGAGAATTGAACACAAGGTTAAAATTGGACACAGAAAGAGCTGACTAGTGTTTTGAAAATCCTGGTCATGGGTTGGGCTTGATGGCTCATGCCTGTAATCCTAGCACTTTGGGAGGCCGAGGTGGGTGGATCACCTGAGGTCAGGAGTTCGAGACTAGCCTGGCCAACATGGAAACCTTGTCTCTACTAAAAATACAAAAATTAGCTGGGCATGGTGGTGTGTGCCTGTAACCCCAGCTACTCTGGTGGCTGAGGCAGGAGAATCACTTGAACCTGGGAGGTGGAGCTTGCAGTGAGCTGAGATTGTGCCACTGCACTCCAGTCTGGGCGACAGAGCAAGACTCCATCTCAAAAAAAAAAAAAAAAAAAAAAAAAATTAGCCTGTTGTGATAGCATGCACCTGTAGTCCCAGCTACTAGAGAGGCTAAGGTGAGAGAATCATTTAAGGCTGGAAGGTTGAGGCGGCAGTGAGCTATAATTGTGCCACTGCACTCCAGCCTGGGTGACATAGTGAGACCCTATCTCAAAAAAAAAAAAAAAAATGCATGTTACTTAGATAACTAGACGGTGTTAATGGATCAAGGCAAGGGGGAAAAAATATGTGTGTATATATATATAAAATGTATATAAGACATATGACATTTATATTATATATTACTACATTCATATTACATGAAACTGAAGAGAATTTTCTTTGCTTGTGGAATATGCAGATGCCATAAAGGGGGTGATTAAATATAGTCTGTGAAGATGGTGGAGGGAGAAGAGGACATTGCACATTTAGAATCACCTTGGATAGTTTGATAGGAGGAAGCTCATCTGGTCCACTGAGATAGGTGCCAGGAAGGAAAAGAAGGTCTGGTTGTAGGTACTTTTTATAGCTTGGGAGCAGGAATCCAAAGAGATTCTCGTCCAATGATGATGTTTGTTTGTTTGTTTCTCTCACTTAGGGAGAAGATTATTTACTACTAAGAGTGATGAAGTGCTAATAAAGTGGGCATTAAAAGGAGAGGTGTTGGAGCAGAGATTAGCTTTTGAAAGAGTGGTAGGGGAGTAACTACCTAGTGGTAGGGAGTTTTGAAAAATGTTTACCCTCTTTTTCCAACGCCCCCGGGAGTGAGAGAATGAGCTTCACCCACTTGAGTGTGGTATATTTGGCAGAGAACCAGAGCTGTTGAAGAGGAGGCTCAGAGAACGTTCAGTGAAGAGGTCAGGGCATGGATAGTTTGTTTACAATTCTAGCAGATTCCATGCAGCGTGATGGATGATGTACATGGCAGGTCTTCGGGTGCGACGTGACAAAGGAAGCACATTTGAAGGAAAACCTAGAAAGGTGTGGCATTGTGAGTAGGGAGATAAGAAGTGCACAAAGGAGTTGGAGCTTTCGGCAAAGCGTAACAGGGATGAGATAGGGTGAGCTTAATTGGCTTTAAATGTTTTTATTAAAACCTTAATCCAACTGTGATTTTTGTGTTGACATGGGAGATATTTTACATTTAGATGATGTGCATCTCTCTGTTCAGCAACCTGAAATTTTACCCAAAGTTTTAGGTAGAAACTTCATAAAAGTTGTTCTCTGTGCTTCTGCATAGCCCATATCTGAGTGGAAGGAAGGGATACAGAAAGGCCCAACAGCTTTCTACTCTGCAAATGCCAGGTCAGTGTGCAGAGGGAGAGTGCTGCCGGGTCTGGTTTCCTAATGTGATATCCGGTGCAGCCTCTGGAGGAACACACAGTGATAAATAAGCAGTGGATTTGTTTCCTTAGGACAGATGCCTGAAAGTGGAAAAGTTAGAAACATATTTTATGGCTTTTTATATAGTCAAATTTTTTTTCTTCTTTTTATTTTTGAGACAGAGTCTTACTCTGTTGCCCAGGCTGGAGTGTAGTGGCGCCATCTCAGCTCACTGCAACCTCTGCTTCCCAGGTTCACACCATCCTCCCACCTCAGCCTCCTGAGTAGCTGGGATGACAGGCATGTGCCACCAAGCATGGCTAATGTTTGTACTTTTTTTTTTTTTTTTTTCTTTTTTGTAGAGATGGTGTTTCGCCATGTTGGCCAGGCCGATCTGAAACTCCTGGGCTTAAGCAATCTGCCTACCTTGACCTCCCAAATTGTTCAGATTATTTTTCCATGAGACACCATTGTTTTTTAAATTTCTCTTTTGCTTAGTGTGAATAGTTGAATCTGACAGAAGAATGCAGAAATGAAACTGCTTCTCTAAACTGTAGAACTGTAACTGTAGAATGTGAAGAATCAGAAAAGATCTAAGCAAACTTCTAAGACCACCCCTCCTTCCGTGGACAGAAGAGGAAGTGGAGCATCAGTTGTTCTTACTAAATTTGACCCCAGCTTCAGAGAGGGAAGATATGCTTTGTTCTTATCCCATTGCTTTTTCTTTTAAAGTGAGTATTTGACAAGCCGATTTCTTATGCAGGCATGGGCATTTAAGGACTCCAACCTAACCTTGTCTTAGGAGATTAGTCTTGCACTTGAAAGTTGTTTTTTAAGCTTGTTATTGGAGATTTAGGGTATATTTAAATCCCAGCAGGTTCCAGAAGAGTTCCTGTAAATCATATTCCTTCTTTTAATCTTTAAGGTATGCCCCATGGAGTTAGGTTCATAGGTGAATATTTATTGCCACTCAGGAGCCTGCCTGAGTAATGCATTGATTATTTTAGATGATAGTCTTTCAGATAATCAGGGTGTCATGAAGTGCTAAATGGTATTTTACAGTTTCTTCCTTGCATTAATTTTTGTATATGACCCAGCAGAGTTGTGTGTCTGTGTGCCTGCACATGCAACCATGTGTGTGAGTGCCCCAAGGGTAAGTATCAAATGGTTGTGATGTTTTATCTACACTGCACTTTTGCACTAACTTCTCCTTACCTTAGGAGGCAGGACTGGTATTAAGAGTTCAGGTGCCCCTTGAAAGTAGAGATCTCTAGAAAGGGGACAATGGGCAAGTAGCGTATAATTCTGTGGAAGGAATTCAGGTGCTCTGGTTCAGAGCACAGTAGTCCCTTCTTATCCTCAGGGGATATGTTCCAAGACCCCCACTGGGTGCCTGAAACCACAGACATTACCAAGCCCTATATATGCTGTCTTTTTTGTACATGCATACCTATGATGAAGTTTAATTTATAAATTACATACAGTAAGAGATTAACAACAATAACTAGTAATCAAATGGATCAGTACTGCAGCAGTTGATCTGATAACTGAGATGGCTACTTTGTGACTTCTGGGCAGGCAGCATATATAGCGTATGGATATTCTGGACAAAGAGATGATTCACATCCCAGGCTGGACAGCAAGATATTTCTTCATGCTACTCTGAATGGCATGCAATTTAAAACCTATGAATTGTTTATTTCTGAAATTTTCCGTTTACCATTTTTGCCATTACTGTAGTTGATCACAGATAACTGATAGCAAGGAAAGCAAAACTACAGAAAGCAAAACCTCAGCTGAGTGGAGGGGACTACTGTATCCTTCTTTGTTCCTGAGGTCACTTGAGATCGTGTTTTCAGACCTCGCCTGGTTTCAGTCTTTTTCTTCCTCATCTCTGTGATTTTGGGCTGTTTAAAGACCTATGGGTGCCCCTAGTGGGGACGTGGGTATTTCTCAGACAACAGGAGGTCTGTGGTATGGATATATTATGAGTGCTATTCATATCTTTCTTCTGCTGTTTATGCCTGTATGACCCTGAAAGGATTTCCTTTGTATCTGTCTTTTCTCACCTGTAAAGTAGGTAGTTCTGTAGACTGAATAAGTATTCATACAGGCCAGGCATGGTGGCTCACGCCTGTAATCCCAGCACTTCACGTGGCCAAGGTGGGAGAATCGCTTGAGGCCAGGAGTTCAAGACAAGCCTGGGCAACATAGTGAGAACCTGCAGCTACAAAAAAATAAAAAAGTAAGCCTGGTATGTTGGTGCATGCCTGTAGTTCTAACTATTCTGGGGGCTTGGGTGGGAGGATCTCTTGAGCCCAGCAGTTCGAGGTTACAGCAAGCTATGATTAC